TATCAGAAAAAAGAAGCCTTGGGACCTCATCCCAATTAAGCCTCTTAAGCAATGTCTCCAAATAACTTGCGCCGTGTGCCTATGCAATGCCCGCGCGGTCGTTTCGTGTGTTTGGCAGGGTAGCGTAGGCTTTACGCAAGACAGTGACACCCAGACAGCACAGTGCCAGTCCCTCACTAATGCTCGGAGTCTGTGGTAACTGCCCACTCTCAACCCCCACTCATTTCCTTTCTGGCAAACAGCAACAGTTGTCAGAGAATGAAGCAGAATGCCCCTGGCGACATGAGTGAGGAGGGGTTCGTATTCTCGCACGAGGGAGCAGTGTGCCTGTCAAATCTGCACCGATTGGGCGCTCGAAGGCAACCATTTGCCGCTCGTAACCAACAGCCAATACCGTACATATATATACATATACATATACACATATATACGAGCATATGTTCTTATATATATACATATATATATATATATATATATATATATATATATATATATATATACCAGTATATATACATATATACATGATATACATATAGAAATACATACACATATACATTATATTCCATTCGCGCCTGGTGTCACGTATACGTGACAGGCCCACTGTGAGTTTACTTGTTTAATTGTTTTCACGCTACACTTGTACTTGTACTGCCTGTCTCGCCTGTTTACCTTTTTCTTTAATTTACTGAAAATATTTTACGTTATCTTATTTTGCTGTTACTAATGTTTATAACATTAGACTAATTATAATGTTTATAATAAAAAATAACCATCAATATTCATAGCACTAGTAAAAAATACATTTCCCGGCATTTCAAGTAAAGGTGAAATCAGGTAAGGCAGAGCCATCTAGTGTAGATAAATTTAATTAAAAATTATAAAAAATGAGCACAGCATTTTCCCGTTTTTTGTTCATTTTTACCCGAATGGGATATACATATACATATACATATATGTATATATAGATATATATATACATATACATATATATAAAAATATATATATATAACACATACATAAATAATATATATATATAGTATATATATATATATATATAATATATATATAGATATATATATATATAAGCCAGACATATATATAGATATATATATATATAATATATATTATATATATATATAATGCAGACATATATATATATTCTTAATATATATATATATATAGCAAAAAAAAAAAATATATGTATAATACCATACTATGAAATACTATATATACAATATATCCATGTATTACATATATTTAAACATATGCATAAATTACATTTGCCACATATATATACATGTACACGAACAGATAATATAAATCATACATATATAAATTTACATAGATACATATAGACACAAAGACCATACTATACATAATATACTAGAATGCATATATACATATGAACATATATATATATATATTTTATATATATACTCACATTTAGACATATCAATATATGCACACACACACATACACACACAACACACAACACACACACACACACACCACACACCACACACACACACACAACACACACACACACCCACCCCCCACACACAAACACACACACACATGTATTTACAAAATATTTAGAGACATACATATATTCTGTAGTACACATGTAGTTACACGTTAGAAAATTATGCAAAACATTGACAAAAACATCCGAAACATTTTGTAATATAGTTGTTAACTGTTGGTTCCAACTTCTTTTGGTAAAATCATGTGTGTTGTGCGCGTGTGTGCGTTCACGCGTGCGGTGTGGAATGTTTAATGAAATGCGAAGTCAATATTTGGTATAAGTAGCTAACAGTATGTATAAGTCTTTTAAATGATTCTTAATGCGCTTATCTTGTGCTAAAATTCTGATCATAATTTTCGCTTTTGTTATTCCGTGGCGGTTTCTCTGCAGTCGCCTTCCATCAGCTGAGCGAGAAAACCCACGTTCGCTCGTTTCCTCTCGAGCAACCAGAGCCGGGTGGTTCCAAAGAGGGTGAAAACAACTGATACATTGAAAGAAAAATCTTGTTCATTTTGATAAAATAGGAATTCAATCTCGCTGTCTACTTTAATCTGACAGGTATGCAATGTATATTTCTCTTGTATGTGTCAGTGGATGTCAAAACTTTGATACATAACCGTAATATGTTATCATAGAAATACTTTATTTCCCGGTGTGAAAAATCATGCTTGTTCTCCCGAAACTAGAGTAGTTTGAAGAAAGAGGAACCATCTAAAAAAAAAGGCATTTGATACTGTTTATGACAAGGAATATGACAATAAATTCCTGAATATTCATTTCGCGGCCAATCCTAATATATGCTAAACACGAAAGAAAATATGTCCGATGGCATATGATGTCATAATGACAGATGAGAAATCCAAGGTGGAAACGAGGCTGCCAAGCGGACACTTCTTTCAATCTGATGTGGCAAATGGAGGCAACATCACTGGGGTGAGGGAACGCAATTTCTTCTCCAGTGAAGTAACCGAAGTA